AATGGGGTAACAATTTTTTTAAACGGAATACGCTTGATGTGAAACTCATGTTTGTCAGTTATCGACAATTGCAGATAACTTAACTTTCGCATGTTTTTTACAAGGTCATGTGATATTGTATGGTAATTTGTTGGTTTTATAGCTTCATAATTTGTTTGTAGATTTCGAATGTGTTTGCTTTCTGGGCCGTTTGGTTTGTGGCGTAGTATTCTTTTACATTGGTCCTTACACTTTAGTGCCACTACTGTAATACATCTGTCATGTTGTAGGATCTGAGGTTCTCATGGCGGTGAGTCTGAAGATGCCTGTCTTGTGGGTTGTTGCGCCGAGTGGTCTGGTAGAAGTTTACCAACATTTCAGAGGTCCTTGCTGCCTCCATCATCAGGGTGCGCTATGATAGAGGCCGTAAGAACCTCTGAAACGTTGGAAAATGTTTTTGTTCTGCTGCTTGCTACCGAGAGGCCTCATCTCCGTCAAAACCTCAAATCCTAATTGAGTTCATTTTTCCTATCTTATTTGAAAAGTTAAAGGCTTTTTTTTTAAATTTTGTTGGATCCAAGAAGATCTTTGTAAAGTTTCTTATGAGCAAATATTAATGGATTTGAATTAGTGCCGCATTGCCGTGATGCCTGCCTTAGTGTGTTGGTTTCATTAGTGGCGCCTGTGCAGACCACAGTCATTTCTGAAATACAAAAAAACACATTACGGAAAGAATTTTCCCTAAGCGCGAAAGCAAAAAGTAATCTAGTGATCTGAAGATTCAGAAGTATATGTTATCGATATAAACACTTTTATTTAGTGTCCCATCAGATTTCCATCTTCCCTCGAGTAGATATGTTACCGTAAATGTGTTTCGTTCCTTTACATTGAAATTTAGCCGAAGGAACGAGTAAGCCTGTAGGTCGTCGTCTTAACTTACGTTCCAGATGACAGGTTTCACGAAATATTTGTACGATCATTATACGACTAGGCTTTACCTACAGTATCATATTTGTTGATGCGTTGCAAACACCGATAACATTAAGTCTGATATGTGAACTTGCGTGCCGAATGTTATTCGGGCTTGTTTGCATAAAATGATTCCATATACAGACATCACTTATACACTGTCCGTTTGACTAACAGTCAGACGCGTTTTTCTCGCAGGATCGTATTTGATGTTCAGTGGTTCTACATTTGTTTCTTATAACGCACAAATTGTGTGTTGTCAAGAAGCATATTACAGAAATCTTCATGTGACAAAAATAATCCAAATTTTTAAAATATTAATGTTTTCTATCCGGCAGATATTTCTAAACTAATGTATTTAAAGTATACTTTCGGGATATTACAATATATAAAATTCATTCTTCATATTACATTACATTCAGTTTCATAAATGGTGCTCCCATTGTAATTTCTGTTACCAATTTGTGCATCCATCACCACTCTATCTGTGGTATTTACGTTGTATTTATTTAATGTTACATCACTCCACATTGCCTTTTTTGTTCTGCTGCTGACAATTCGTGTTGCTTCCTGTCTGATTACTATATTGTGAAATGTCGCGTGTTGTTAGATTCCAGTTTTGTCTATAGAATCTGTGCTGCTGTCTGTCTGAGCAGATAATTGACTCAAACTTCCAACAGAAGCAGGCGCACAGCCGTTTTAATACGCGGCACAGAAACGTCGACTGACTCTCAGTTCTCCATTAGTTTTGTAGCTTTCTATTGTTTAATTCTTGATTATTTGAATCAACCGCCCAGCCGTACTCTTTGACGTGATGGTATACACCAGGAATTACATGTGACTTTAGAGAAAGTAGTCCGAAGGGGAAAGATCAGGTGATCTCGCTGGCCAAGGTACTGGACGACCTCGGCGAATGCAGTGGTATGGAATTAAATGATTTAAAATTGCAGTCATCTGTCTATTAAAATGAGGATGTTCGCCATCTTGCCTGGTTAGCAGAGGACAATCTTCCAGTATGAACGGCAGCTATTCCTGTACGAAACGCAAATAGGGCAGAGGTATGAACCGGTTTCAAGCACATTCGGTCCGATAAGCAAACAGCCAATGCATAGTGAGTGAGCAGAATTCTTCTGACAAACCGTTGCAGCTCGTACCCACGTTTATTTGAACTTTTTGACTCAAAATAATTCCAAGAGAACATAGTTAAGCTATGGTCATTCTGTTGTAGGACATTCTGTAGATTAATAGGCTAACTATTCACTTTAGTTACCCACTTTGTTTCCAAATTCCACAGGAACTAACTACCTACGTTAATCTCGCCAGATATTAGCTGAAAATTATGCACTGTCATCATATTTGTAACCTGTAACATATGAAATTGTCTCGTGTATCATTTATAAGTATTTAAAATCGGCCTCTCGTTCTTAGATCTGGTGGTTCATTATTTAATCTACATCAAATTGGGAGTTAAGTTTAAGTAACAAGTAAATTACGCTGGCCGCCGTTTTATTCTATACATTATACAAAAGAAATTACTTGTTCAGAACTAAAATGTTTTACTGAGATTTATTATCTCACCGAAGTTGAGCACTCCAACTTATTAAATAGGGCTACATTAAATTTAACCTTAGAAATTTTCACGACTTCTGGATTGGCGTTAGGTATGCATGGCAGGGAATTAAACATAACGAAGATAGGATTATCTTTACTGACGTAGACCACAAGAACTTGCCTTTCTTTGTAAAGTATAGTTATTAGGCCCACTTACACGGAATTGGCGATAACAACAAGTGGGCAGGCACGTTTCATGAAAGTGCGTGGGACTGGCAGAACTGGAACATAATGAGAATTGGGTTTTATTATCCACTTTCAGAAACCAAAACTTACAGATCTGACATTAGTAGGGATAAGACACTACAAAGAGTTACGCGTGCTATAGCTGACAGAGAGAAAATATAATGCTCGAAGTGAGAAGATTTCTTGCATACTATGTTAATTGTGTTCTTAAGACGTTATTGATTATGTAGGTGTTATTAAAATCACAGTGTTTCGGAATTTGGTTCCGCTTCCTTTTTCAGATGAAAGGAGGTGAAGAGAATCCCCGGTTATGTCCATTGGTGCCTGAAGTACTCAGATTCCATCAAACTGCTTAAAAGATATATTTGCCTGAATGAAGTATCCTGTGTCCCCCACTTTGATAGTCACGCTTTCTGACGCTTAGACACACTTTTCAAAGGTTTGTCGTATTTTAACACTTATGGTGATCTCAAGTTACGCCTTTATAGAAGGTGACGCCTAGTCACGCTATGTCACGCTTGGTCACATTCAGTAACGCTTGGGCACGCGTGGTTACTAAGTCATATCTCGGTACGTTTTCGTTATCTTGCGTAGGGCTCGGTAAACTTTTGATATTTTGCCATACGTTTGATGAAGTTACGACAGGTTAGGTTAGAATAGGTTGGGTTAGGTTGTGTTAGGTTAGGTTATGTAAGTTAGGTTATGTTTAGTTAGGTTAGGTTAGTTTGTTACATTAGGTAACGTTTTGAAAATATTCGTCACGCTTATGGCCACATCTCGCGACGGCGTTACGGTACGTCATGCGTAGTCACGCTTTGTCACGCTTGGTGACGCTTTTAAAATCTTGGTGATGTTTTAACACTTAAGGTGTGCTCTCGTCACGCATTTAGAAGTGGTGACGCCTAGTCACGATTTGTCACTAATACATATAATTGAAGATAATAGAGTAAACAGTAGCAGGGGTAGTGATGAGTCGAGTGATATGTCAGAAGGCGATGGTCTGTGAAGAGTGGAAGAATTGGAAGAGGACCGAAGAGTTGTGAAGAAGATAAAATTATCTAATACTCTCAACATTGTTAATTTTGTAGCGATACGTAGTGTAGTGAAATCGACTTTCCTGTGTTACATACCGTGGTGATATTTTATTTGGGGAGTACTGTACGCGGGCTGCTGCCATTCCTTCAAGCAAACTTCTCATAAGTGATTCGCTCCGATGTTCCAATTCACAAAGTTCAGCGGCCAAAAAACGCTGGAACGTAGTATAATGCTTCGAACTCTGTGTTTGCTCCATTGAGTTTTCACTTCTAATGAAACGACCATTGCTTCAGTTTCACTGCCTCCATCATCAGGGTGTTGATGACGGAGGCAAAAAGCACCCCTGGAACGTTGGAAAAATTCTGCCAGACTACACGGCGCTACAGTTCAGAAGGCTGCCATTTCCGTACTCGCCACCTTGAGAACCCTAAATAATACGTAGTATAAAATAATAGAACAATGATAAGTGTAATGGGTAAGTTTGAACGTGGCTTTTCGATATACACACTACCACATGGTGTGAAAAGAACGATGATGATTGTGGTGGTAACAATAAAGAACATTCCAAAATTTGTGTCTGTTATCGATAATTGCAGATATCTTAACTTTCGCCTGTTTTTATACAAGGTCCGTGTGCTATAGTATGGTAATTTGTGGGTTTCGTAGCTTCAGACTTTTTTTTGTAGATTTCGAATGTAGTTGCGATCTGGGCCGTTTGGTTTGTGGCGTAGTATTATTTTATATTGACGCCTCTAACTTTATCTTAAGTTCAAGCACCGACGGTCCTTACACTTTTGTGCTACGACTGTAATACATCTATCATGTATATTTGAGTGTGTTGATGTTTGAAGATGGCTGTCTTCTGGGTTGTTTCGTCATGTAGTCTAGTACAGTTTTTCACCTCTGTCACAGCATAAGAAGTAAATTGCTGTGAAGGGCAAATAAGCACACCAGTTCTCAAATTATAATTCTACTATAATTCATTGTCGTCATCAGTGGTTCTACAGTCCTTCATGAATCTTGACCTCCTTTCTGACAGGTGGTTCCTCAATATTCTTAGACATTTGGTAGGACTTTTTCAACCAGTGATAAACTCTTCTACCTGTATTTCTGCTATAATTACAAATTATAAATAAGTACATAGACAAATATGTATATGATTAAGGAAATAAGGAAATACGTGATCAATAAATAAGGAAATTAGATAAATAACGTGCTGCTTTTCTTTCTTACATTTCTCTTTATTTGAGTCAATGAAACATTACATTAAGACTTGTTGTCTTTGTATTACCCGAAGCATGGGCACCTGCTTTCTGCCTCCTTTTATTTTGCAGCCTGAAAAACAACATTAGCTTTAGTTAGTACATATTCGTCTTAAACACGAGGAACCGTGTTCGACACTTGCCACTGATTCATCACATTCGTTTAAAAATCATTTCCTTTCTGACATTTCAGCTTTTCACGGCGGCAGAAATGTTGACATGATCTTTTGTATAATATGCTCATAGGTAAAATTAAGTCGTAATGGATTTGAGATTTATGATTTAAATTTGAAAATTATAAGGCTTGTATTGAACCTATATAGGGTTACGTATAGTCTAGGTTAAACTGGTACCTAGCGGCAGTTGTGCTTAGAATGCAACTTGAATTTAATTTCTTTAATAAATTGGGTGCCTGAGAGCCTGTCAACTTACTTTTTGTTACTGCCTCTATTTATCGAAACGGAAGTTCTGTGACAACAGATGACTGCAAATGATTTATACTCACATGTACACCTCCTGCAGGCTTTGGTTCGGGCTCTGCCATTACCATCAGCGAATTCTGAAACAGTATAGAGCATTTAGAGTTCCTTCGACACAGAACAGGCATGTTCAGGTTTGCGCTTTCCACCGACAAAACATTCAATAAAGGCATAATTATTTTCTCCAAAGTGGGGAAACCCTAAGAAATGAATTCCTGCCTTAACACGCAGTGTGTATGTTGCGTTATGGTTACTCACGGGCAGTGTTACTCTTGTGGAAGTCTGATTAATAACGACGCTTATTTAATTACGTACGTTAAATATGTAATAGAATTAACATGATGGTATTACAAATCGATGATAAAATGTGTGGTTACAGACAGAGTTGAATAAGATACTGAGCTAACATAGAGGTTTCTCAGAAAGATGTGTGCACAGTATAATACGGAATATTAGCTATGTTATTGTGACACTCTACATATAGAGACTGTTGTATGCATAACATAAAACAGGGGTAGAATTCGGGAATATTAGCGTGT